TGGAGTTAAAGGAGAAGAAAATTAAAGAAGATGAATGATGGAAAAGAATGGTGATATTTTTCTTTTTTTTGCTGGATATAAGAAAGGAAAAATTAAAAAAATAATAAATTATTGGGTGGAAACAAGAAATATATCTATTTTTATAGTAACTATAATTTGAAAAATTAAGATGTCTTATGGGGAAAAAAAGACAAAGTTATCTATTAATATTAAATTCATTAATTATCAAGTCTTTTTATATTTAAATTTATTGTTTATTATATTAAATAACTTACAAATTTGCTAAATAATAATAAGATTCATGGATTAATTAGCATAATTTTGGAAAGAAATCATCAATAGTTGGCATATTAGGAAGACGACTAGGAATATTTTGCATATGTATAATGCCACCTACCCTTACAGCTATAAAATCCTGCAAACCCAAAAGCAAATCATCCAAAACATCCAAACTTTTCCTCAGATTTTTAGGAAAAATGAAATTCAAGAGAGGAGACGAAATCGAAGTGAGCAGCGGAGAGCAGGGTTACCTGGGCTCTTATTATGAAGCAATAGTGTCCAGGAAGATTAGCAATACTATGTATATTGTGGAGTATAAGAATTTGATCAAAGATGACGGGTCAGGACCTTTGAGAGAGATTATCAACATCAATGAGATTAGGCCTAGGCCGCCGATTGTTCCTTTCCCAGCTGAAGATTTATCTACAGGCGATAAAGTTGACTCCTATGACAATGACGGTTGGTGGAGTGGAACTATCTGCGAAAAGAAAGAGTCTGGATATGTTGTGCATTTTCACACCACTGGAGAGACCATCACTTTTCCCGATACTGAGAAGTTAAGGATCCATCTGGATTGGGTTGATGAAAAATGGGTCTCTACCAAGTTTGGGTATTTTTTATCTTCTCTTCTTCATCGTTTTTCAAGTTCAGTTTTTCTTTTTTTCATGTATTTTCTCATTTTTATTTGATAGTTTTTAGTCGTGATTTGGTGATTATTATTCTTCAAGTTTCACTCGCTGTTGTTTGCCTTTCTGCTGTCATTTTCTTACTTGAGCTTAGCTTTGCATATATAAAGCGGTAGACCTAAGATCGGGTTGTATGTAGTAGGATCGTTAAGCTAGGCTAAAAGGGTGGGTAAGCTAAGCCTCTTAGACTTCTTTAAATAATGTTTAGGAGCAAAGGTTTATATATATATATATGAAAATGGTCAAAAATTGCAGATTTACGGGTTTATTAATTATTTTTATTGTTATAATAATTTGTCGTTATTATATTGTTTCTCTGTCGTTATTATACATTAATTATGAATAAATATTTTT